CTTGGAAACCCAAGGAGGGGTTTCTATGAGTTGTATCCAACTCGACGGCACATAACAACAACAACAACAATCTATTAAAGAAACTGAATCAACAATTAATAACCTTCCTAATTAGAAAGCACAAAGTCCAGATGGTTTCACTGGTGAACTCCACCAATCACTTACAGAAGAATGATACTAATTCTCTACAATCTTTTTCAGAAAAATAGAAGAGGATACTTCCTAACTCATTTTATAAGGCCTTACCCTGATAGTAAAACCAGACAAAGACATTGTAAGAAAGGAAAATTATAGACAAATATCTCTCATGAACATAGATATAAAAATCCTCACCAAAATATTAGCAAACCAAATCCAATCATGTACAAAAAGAATTATATGCCATAGAGTTGATTCCCACTCACTGCGACCCCCATTGGATTTCCAAGGTAGTAAATCTTTGCAGAAGTAGATTGCCCAGTCTTGCTTCCACAGAGTGGCTGGTGGGTTTGAACCACCAACCTTTTGGTAGTAGTCAAATGCCTTAGGCACTGTGCTACCAGAGCTCCTTTAACATTTACCTGATAGAAGACTTGAATTCAAACCATATAATGAACTCTTAAGACTCAACAATAAGGAAAAAACACCAACCATAAAATGGGCAAAAGATTTGAACAGGTATGTCACCAAAGAAGATATATGAATGGATGGCAAATAAACACATGAAAAGATGCTCAATATCATATACCATTAGGAAAATGCAATTAAAACAACAATGAAATATCATGGCATACCTGTTGGTTATTTTGTTGTTGTGGTGGTAAGGTGCCTTCAAGTTGGCTCCAACTCATAGCAACACCATGTGCAATAGAACAAAACATTGCCCAGTTCTACCTACACCATCCTCACAATGGGCTTGAGCCCATCATTGCAGCCACTGCATCAATCTATCTCTAAATTAGTTAGAATGGCTAAAATCCAAAACACTGACAACACCAAATCCTGATGAAGATGTGGCATAACAAGAACTTTCATTCCCTGCTGGTGGGAATACAAAATGGGACACCCAGTTTAAAAGATAATTTGACAGCATTTTACAAAGTTAAACATAAACTTATCATAAGATCCCGTATTATATGCCAAGGTATTTAAACCAATTGAGTTGAAAAGTTACGTACACATAAAAATCTACACAGGAATGCATATAGCAGTTTCATTCATAATAGACAAAAATTGTGAGCAAAAAAAAAAAAAAATGCCCTTCAATTGGTGAATGGTATATACAAACTATAGTATATCCATAAATGGAATATGATTCAGTGATAAAAAGAAATGACCAATAAAGACAGAAAAAGACATGGAAGAAATTTAAATGCACATTTCTAACTGAAAGAAGGCAGTCTGAAAAGGCTGCATAATGTATGATTCCGACTATAGGACATTCTGGAAAAGAGAAAATTATGGCGACATTACTCTGGTAGTGTAATGCCTAAGGCACTTGACTGCTAACCAGAAAGCTGGCGGTTCAAAACCACCAACCCCTCCTCAGAAGGAAGGTTGGGCAATCTACTTCTGTAGTGATACTGCCTCGGAAACCCAGAGGAGGGGTCACTATGTGTCGGGTCCAACACAATGGCACATAACAACAACAACAACATGGAGACAATATAAAGAACAAGGGGGTTCATAAGGAGAAGGGAAGGATAAATAGGTGAAGCATAGGGCATTTTTATGGCAGTGAAACTATTCTATGTTATACTGTAATTGTATATGTACGTCATGGTGCATTTGTCAAAACATAAAGAACTGTACAACAGAAGAGTAAACCCTAATGTAAACAATGGACTTTAATTAATAAAAATCAGTATTGGCTTACTAATTATAACAAATGTACCTACTAATGCAATATATTAAAAGTAAGGGAAACTGTGTAAAACAGAGAGGGAACATATAGGAACTCTACTTTCTGTGAGATTTTTCTGTAAACCTAAAACTGCTCTAAAAAAATAAAGTCTACTGAAAAAATAATAGGGCTATTCTAAAATGAAATAGGGTGATAGCTTTAAAGTAAACAATCCAGAATATGCAGGAAACAGATTTTAGGAGCTAGAACGGCACAAAGCGAGTGCAGAGAAAATGGCCTTCGTGTTGGTATTAAGAACAAACAAAAAGAAAATTGAAATTAGGTTGCTGATAAAACATCTGCAATAATCCAGACAGAAACTATCATCCACTTGATTGTTGTAGTCAAGCCAGATTGGCTAAGAAACCAAGAGATAGACTGCATAAGAGGACACGTAGTATGATCTCATTTTTCTTAAAACAACAACAAAAAAATTATATTTTGTTTATGACAGAAAGAGCCCTGGTGGTGCAGTGGTTAAGCATTTAACTGCTAACCAGAAAGTCTGCAGTTCAAACCCACCAACTGCTCCGCAGGAGAAAGATGTGGCAATCTGATTCCATAGAGATTTATAGCCTTGGAAACCCCTATGGGCAGTTCTGCTCTGCCTTACAGGGTCATTTTGAGAGTAGGAATTGACAGTTTTGGGTTGTAGTTGTTATTAGGTGCCATCAAGTCCATTCCAACTCACAGTGGCCCCTTGTGATAAAGGAGAACTGGCCAAAGTGTTTCCTCGGCAGTAATCCTCACAAAAGCTGATCAACTGGTCTTTCTTTGGTGGAGCCGCTGGGCATGTTCAAACTGTCAAACTTTTGGTTAGCAGCCTAATGTGAAAACATTGAGCACCAGGGCTCTGTAAAGTATATGAGCAGAGGATTTCAAAATCTTTGGTACTATCCCAATTAGATAGCTGATTTATTAATATCAAAGGTAACACAAATAGCAATTCAATGTGAATTAAGTATAAATTTTCTTGTTAACCCTCTCAGTTGAAACCTATTACTATTTTGCCAGTTTACTTTAAGACCAAACATTTCAATTATTTAGATTTCATCCTGTCAAAGAAATCACTAAATATTTTGCCTTCCCACATGTAAATGATCCAGGCTTTATGTACACTTAATATTTAAACATGTATTTTTGCTCCATGCAGCTGAACTTCTTTCATCAATTTATCCTATTCTCTCTTTTGTGTCATCCCTCAGTATTACTGTCACACATAGCTCAACAAATACACTTGAACAACTACACCAATACTCATATGATACACATAAGATCCTCAATGTATCACCAATTTCCTAGAAATCAACATTTTGTTAACAATCAGGATAGCCAGTATTTGTTAACAGGACAGGATAGAAAAGCACATTAAAATCTTTAAAATTTTTGAAAAATGGTGGCATAAGCAGCATAAGTTACTGTTAAATGCAAGGGATTTTTTTCCCCATAATTTAAAATGTTTTGCTTTGTTCTTCCCAGTATTATTGAAGACATCCTAGAAGCCCTGGTGGCACACTGGTTAAAGCACCCAACTGTTAACCAAAAGGTGGGAAACCACCAACCTCTCCAGGGTCACTCTGAGTCAGAATTGACTGCAGGGCTAGTAATAGGTTTCAATTTACAGGGTTAATAAAAAAATTTTGTATTTAATTAACAATGAATTGTTTGTGTTTGTGGTTTTGGTTTTGGGTTTTATTGAAGAATTCCTAACAATTTCGTATCTACTGAGGAAATTCCAGGTTTCTAAACAAAGATATAGAGGGCTTCTGGTGGCGCAGTGGTTAAATGCTTGGCTGCAACCAAAAGGTCCGAGGTTCCAAACTACCAGCTGGGCGTGGCAGAAAGCCGTGGTAGTCTGTTTCTGTAAAGGTTAGAGTCTTGGAAACCCTATGGCAGTTCTACTCCGTCCTATAGGATCACCAAGAGTCATAATCGACTGGGCAGTAGTGGATTTGGTTTTTGATTCAACAAAGATACTCAGCTAAACCATTTGAAATTGCTGGATTAGTAGGTCAAAATTGGTAAAGTAGTTGGTTTCATATGGTTCACCTTACTTCAGAAACTAGTATAAGAAGGTGGAGATTAAAATGGAAGTGAAGATTCCCTTTAAAAGCATCAAGAGCTTTAAAACTCTAAAGTTATGATCAGGAGTGGAAAGTACAATAACAATACAGTATTTTAATAACCGATTTTGTCAAGAAATAACAGTGGCCTGTCTTAAATAAAAAGCTATCTAACACATTTTGCAAGGTTGGGCAATCCTACTTCCGTAGTGATACTGCCTCGGAAACCCAAGGAGGGGTCGCTATGAGTCAGGTTTGACTCGACGGCACATAACAACAACAACAACACATTTTGCATGGCTAAAAAGCAAACGTGAAACTTCCATTTAAAAAGTTCTTTCCCTCTCCTAATTATTTTTGAAAGAATCCACTGCCAAACTTACAACTTTTTAGGTGCAGAGGTTGTAATTTGCTTCTTTCAAAGGCTATGGTTTGTTTCTCCACCCCTCCCCGCAAACAATTTGCATGGCTCCAATGATGAGCTTTTCATTAAATTCTATAATAGTGAATTCTAAGAAACTTACTAGAGTCTGAAATCTTTGCCACTTCAATTTTGTATTTTAAACGTTCCCTATTTTCCCCACTGTAATTAAAGTCAAAACCATTTTATTGAAAAGGGTATCTGTGCTGACCTTTAGGGGCAGCAAGAAATGAGGCTCTGAGGAAAATCTCGTCATAGGCCAACACTGGCCTGAGGTGGGTTTCTTGGAAATCCCGGGGCTCCTAATTCCCGTGTGGCATCCAGAGTTGCTAAAAGACCAGGGTCCAAGCCCTGGGGAGTGCTGTTGGCAGGTGAGCACAGAAGTGCGGCGAGACTCCACGGCTTCCCCATTCCAGGCCTGCTTCCTCTCTAAGAAATCGGAGGTGATGGGTGGGTGTGAAGATTTCCAAACTCCTTTAGATCACTAAGAGCGCAATCTCCGAGGCTCGCTCTCGTTTCTGGCCACAATTGAATACGAGACGGGCAGAGTGAGCTGCTTTTCCGAGACAAAGAGCTTGAGGACTTGATGCCGGGGTCTCCCTTTCTGCCCGCGGCCCAGACCCTCACTACTCACCTCGGCGGGGTGCATCGCCAGGCGGAGCTCCCGACCACTCAGGGTCTGCCCCTCCATTATCAGCGCTAACAGCCTGGGCTACAGCCGCTGCTCCGAAGGGAAGATTTGAAAATCCCGCCCCTGACTGGGGACCGTGGAGGACGCCAACCGCCCGGCCGTACCAAGTCCAGGAGGTGGGGGAGAAGGGACCCGAGCATGCGCAACTGGCTCGCGCACGCTCAGTGGCGCGCCCCCGTACCCGCGGCTCCTGGCGCTGGAACTTTAGACAGCGGCGAGTTCTCCTATACAGCCGCCGGGAAGTGAGAGGCGGCCAGCCAATTTAAGACACTGAAAGGGATGTGGGAGGTACTAGGACGGGAGTGGGCGGGTCCCGTAGGGAAAGCATATCTAGGGTGATGATTTCCCTTACAGTCCTTTTTTGGGGATCTCTCCTTTGTGTCTGCATCCCAAGAGACGCCGTCCAAAGCGTTCGCAGGCCAGCCGACTCAATGAAGCTGCTGTCATTGGACACCTTAAAAACAACTCAAGGACCTATGGTGTCACTTAGAGACCACCATGTCGCTCCCAGAGAACCAGGTGACATCGCCGTCAAGCATAGAGCTTAACTCTCTCCTCTAACACAGCACCTGGTTGTCACCCAGGGTCACTCAGAAAACACAGCCTTGTTGATCAAGTCCTGGAGACACCACGTCAGGCATTTCACGTCTTCTCTTTTGCCTCCAGTGTTTATTTATAATCCCAGATGCACCCCCTCATCCTTGCCCCAAGTACTCTTTTTTTTCTCTCTCTTGCCAGACACCCCAATCATTACCTATTCCCTGTAGTTCTCCCACCAGCATCCGAAGTGACAGCAGAATGGGGTACATATTGCCCAGAGCCCTATTTCTTGCTGCCCCTAAAGATCAGCACAAAGACCCTTTTCAATAAAATGATTTTGACATTAATCACAATGAAGGAAATCTGGAATGCTTAAAAATCAAAAGTCAAGTGGCAAAGATTTCAGACCCTTATAAAGTTCTTAAAATTCACTGTCCCTTGCTGATCCTGACTTCCCCTTGAAAAGACAACAGGAAGCCTCTTTGAGTTTCTATCATTTTTCCTCCAAAATCACTCAACCCTCCCTTCAGAGAAGGCTTGGAGCCTTTCTTCTTCCATAAAAAGAATGATCATATTTTTAATTTGCTAAGGCAGTCCCTGTTTGGCTTGTCGCAATGTTTCAACTATTTTCCACTTGTCCTAAGAAGTTGATCAGTTTAGGTATTAAATTATATGGTCATCTTATCTAATCAGTGTGTTTTGAAGATGCACTTCTGAAAATATAATGACTGCCCTTAGTCTGAAGTGGGTCATTTCCATCTTTGAAGGCACTTGAACTAGGTGATACTAGAAGCTGCCCAGCTAGGAATGACACCCCTCTCCCCATATCCTTACCTAAAGTGATAAAAATAAGTAGAGCTTAAAATCACAAACACAGAGGTTACCTCATTCTTTCCAAACACAAATCTAAATTCCAGAATCATTAGGTGTCTCTTAGCCTTGCACACCTCTCTCCTTAGGCTTAGCACTTAGTGGTGTAATTATCCCCTACTCAACATGAGCTGAACGAGCTTAGTATACTATCTGACTCGTAAAAAAAATACATACACAAACACACACACAGCTCATCATCAGACATGTAGTGCTTATCATATAACACACACAGCTTGAAGACTCAGATCAAAGTATTCGTAGAACCTATCATTTGTTGGAAAGCCAGCCAAAGGCAAGCCAACGAATTTGAGATTGAACCAAAGTAGAAATATTTGATGAGTGAATACTTGGTATGTAATTGAAGATGCATTTTTTATAGTACTCAGAGAAAGGGATCTAGGAAAGGTCATATTTAGTAATTATTGCCTGTTGAATAGATAGTCTCAATTAAAGACATTTCTCTATGGAAAAGAAGATGTGATGTGGTACTATCTCTTTGTTTTTCATCAGGGTTGTTCCCAGGAAATGCTTATGCTATAACTATGGTAATTAAAATACCTCAGACAAGGACTGTTTTTCCTCATTTATTCCCAGGTCCTTCCTTGTTACTACTGCTAGTTTCATCAAACACCATTTTCTCTGGTGTATGTTATGTACATATCAATAGGATTGTCCACAGAACTTAGCAAAAGAGGTTAAAGATTTCACATGCAGTAGTTTGATTGTTGTTGTTGTTGTTATGTGCCGTCGAGTCAGCCCTGACTCATAGCGACCCCTCCTTGGGTTTCCGAGGCAGTATCACTACGGAAGTAGGATTGCCCAACCTTCCTTCCGAGGAGTGGCTGGTGGGTTTGAACCGCCAGCCTTCTGGTTAGCAGTCAAGTGCCTTAGCCACTATGCTACCAGAGCTTGACAATTTATTCATTCACCCATTTATTTATTAAAAATAAAAACAAGCACACAAAGTCTTTCCAAGATTTATATGTAGGCCTAGACAGTTTTAAGTGATTAACTTTCAAGATTCTAAAGTTCTTTATGATTCCCATCCTAAAATTGATCCGCCTAACAGCCTGTCTACTGTCTAGGCCTGAATTAGTCCCCTTTTTACAATCACTTTTTCACTTTAGGTCCCTGGGTGGTACCAAACCTGGTGTGCTCACCCTAAAGGTTAACAGTGGGAATCCATCCAGTGACACTGCAGAAGAAAGCCCTGATGATCTACTTCCTTCAAGGAAGTGTTATTCTCTAACACTTGGGATCACCATGAGTTGAAATCATTCTGTGGCAATGGGCTTTGGCTTCAGTTTCTCAGTTGGCACCGAACCCTAATGCATTGCTCCAAAAAAAAGTCCTGGGGCTGAGAGGACAATTGAGATCATTGGTGTTGATGGTAGAAGCAATGAACCAAGGGCTCAGTACTATATTATAAAAAAGAAAAGTAGATATGGAATTGATCTTGACCCCTGTCTTACTCTGGCATTAAATAATAATTACCCATGGATGCATAAACTAATTGAGGGGAAAGAAGCCTTATCTTATCATTATCAGATTCATTCCCAAGAAAATTTTACCTTTGCTGTTTAATACTGATCCACTATAATTTGTAATTATAAATTATTATTATATAATTATATTTGTAATAATTATTTGGTTTTCATCAATTGTGTACTACTACTAATTGAAAAGAAAAATTTTGACATTTAAATCTTATGGTTACATGAAATGTAAAATTGTATAAATTTCAATTTACATATACATGCTTCTTTCAGAGAAGTAGAGTAAGCAATAAAATCCTCTCAAGCATAAAAATATATTAGCATAAAATTCTATGAGATAATTGGAACAAAAATATATGTTCAATAGGAAAAGGAACATGTAAAATTTCTGACTGCTGAAGATGAAGTGGTTCATATATTTTTTAAAAGGATGATGGTAATTATCATCAAATCATTAGCTTTTAGATTCTACTGGTTAAGGCATTTGGCTGCTATTCAGAAGGTTGGTGGCTCAAACCCACTAGCTGTTCTGTGGAAGAAAGATGAGGCAGTCTGCTTCTATAAAGATTTACTTAAAAGATAATTACTTTCATTTTAAGTAGTCATTATTTTCAATACACCAGAAATGACGTCTTTTGTAACTATTTGAATGTGTGCTAAAATATTACAGATACTACCTTAAGAATGTGTAAAGGTTAAAAAAAAATCAGATATTCCTATGTATGATCATCGTATATAATACAAATGTAGATCTTTAATGTCTTTTGATGAAGTTTTACGTTTTCTTCACATGGGCCTGGCACATCTTTGTTCAATTTATTCTTGGATTCTTTAGATCTCTTTTACTGTTGAAAATAATATTTTTTTAAAATATGCCTTCTCTTTATGACTGGTGTGTAGAAATAAAACTTACTTTTGTATATTGATCTTATTTCCAGATACCTTGCTAAATTCTCCAATTATTTCTAATAAATTATTGGTAGTTTAAATGTTTTCTATGTAGACAACCAAGAGCGAATAATGACAATTTTATTTTACTTTTTAACTCTTGTAGTTCTTTTTACTTGACTTACTGTGCTGGCAAGGGCTGCCAATACAATTTAAGTGAAAGTGGTAATAATGGACATTCTTATCTTCTTCCTAATTTTAAAGGGAATATTTCTGGGTTTTTTGTTTGTTTGTTTGTTTTGTTTTTAAAAACTCATTGCTATCGAACTGATTTCAACTCACAGAGATCGTATAGGACACAGTAGAACTGCCCCATAGGGTTTCCAAGGCTGTAATCTTTACAGAAGCAGACTGCCTCATCTTTCTCCCATGGCATGAGAGGTGGGTTCAAAACACCAACCTTTCATTTAGCAGCCAAGAGCACAACTACTGCACCACCAGGCTCCTTTGTAATATCTATTTCTTTATCTTAAAAAAGAATATCATGTATAATTATGTATATTTATACATAAATATACATTGTTCACCCTGAAGCCTTGGATTTATGACCTTCATTCTCAAATGTTAACTTTTAAAAATTGCCTCTTTTACAGTCTATCTGTTCTCTTATTCAGGAACTCCAATTAGATCTATGTTAAATCTTATTTAATCTTCTTCATTGCTTAACTTCTTTTTCATGTTTTCTATTTCCTTGCCTTTTTGTGCTACATTCTGAATACTTTATTTTTCTGTCTTCTTATTCCCTTTTCTTGATCTGTGTCTATCTAATTTGCTCTTACATCTATCCATTGAAGGCAATTTTTTTTATCTCAACAATTGTATTTTTCTTTTATAATAGCTCTATTGTAGTTACTTTTTAAAATCTCCCTGGTCACTTTGGGTAGTCTTTTGTTGCCTGTTTATTTCTGTGATTCTATCATTTATGTCTTTAAACTTTTTCACAATTAATATAGAATAATTATTATATATATGTAATTATATAATCTGTGTCTAATCATTCTCTCTTCGGGTCTTACTTTGAAGTTGATTCCATTAATCCTTACCCATAGTGATTTGTTCCCTTATGTTTTTAAATCATTGATTAGATGTTTCCAAAACCAAAACCAAACTCATTGCATTGAGTTGGATCTGACTCATGGTGTT